CTATACTTGACTTTTGTCTCAACATACGATGAGTCCGCTCTATCATCCAACAGCCCCTACCTCTTTTTCCCTGTGTATAAATTCTCGTTCTTGTTGCAAAATGAATCCCACTTATTGGATTTAAATAATTGATCAATTGGTTGCTAAATAGAGGCAAAGTAGTCTAGACAGATCTACTGCCAGGTCACTGAGTAGACGAGGTTGGTTCCCCGGGCGCATATTCCTATAAATACTTATTTGGAAACTCAAAAAACATGGTCAAACACTGGAAAAGAGAAGAAAAGAGGGGAGAGGGAGATTGAGGGGGGGGGGTATTAAAACAAGTGAGATACACTTACCATATCAACAGTAACTTCTCCCACTTTAGTGTTGCCATGTTCTTTCCTAAATGCTTTGATTCTCTCTTGCTCTTTGGGAATCTTTTGAGCGAGAACATGTTTGAGATCAGTGGAAGCATCTGTTAAGTTGCGTACAGCTAGGTTTGCTAGCGGTAGAATCTGCAACAGAAAACAAACAAACCATTAGTTAGCGAAGTCACAAGAAAAGTTCGAGCATAACATTTCCGTGAACAGACATCGAAGAAAAAAGACGTGCTTGGCACGCGAAAAGGATAGTCAAATTAAGCGCTTAATACCCCAATAGCCCGTTCCAGATGCTTAAAAAGTGAAGGTTCAGTTTGGGGACATCGATGCGGGTGTTGACTGCTGAACTTGCATGATAAATTTCTCAAATTCGCAATTTATCGTTGCCCAGCTTTGAAAAGCTCTCTACGGATACATTTGAGGAATTTTTTGGCAATTTTGGCGTCAAATGATAAAAGAAGAACCCCTCTAGGCTGTGCCGCGGGATTTCTCATGTTTTCTCAACCTGATGACCCTTTTCGCTTAATCCCATCAAAAAGTTTGTTCGACGATTTTCAAAATTTTGAAGATATTCAAAACAAGAAGTGATCTATGCTCCTGTCCTTCAGCCGATCGCAATCCCATGCTCATATATTTTTTCAATGGTGGGTTTCGAGAAAAAGAAAGCATTCTATAATATCTATTAGTATTTTCGACCTTTGAGAGTGTGAAAACGCACTCTCTGTGTAGCCATCAATAATAATTGCCGATAATTTCAAGCTCATTAAGCATCGAACTTTCTCGACTCAGATTTAATGACCGCAAGCATCAAGAGGGCGCGTGCCGCAGAATTGGCAGTCAATTAAATCGGTACTGTCCAGTTTTCCAAAATGAAATAAATCTAGAAATAACTATACTCATTTTATTCCGCTAGCATGAGAAAATACTAATAAGCCAGGGTTCACATTCAAAATTGAATCAGTGAGTTCGAAAACACACCAACTCGGGTTTTTTTCGATTTTCACTTTTTTACGGTTTAGTGACCTTATGGATAGAAGCATCTGCACGCTAAAGGAAATTTCGAAATTGCAATCGGAAAAGCTCGAAACAGCGACGGAAAAGGGGAAAAATCGAAGTATTTCATTGGAAATACAAATTTTCGGCCATTTCGAGGGAAACGGGTGACCATCCGATTTTGCGGTTTTCTTTTTTCGGTTCAGTATACTTTGTACCAACAAGTTATATAAATATTCAAGCGTTTTCAGGTCGAAAAATATACATTTTTCAGGGCAGACTATGAAAAATCAGTATCTGACAAGGTCGGTGAGAACGAAAACACACCAACTCGGAGATGTTTAAACGCATAATTCTCTGTCATCAGACATGGTGTATAGATTTCAATTTGGTGCTTTACAAAGTCTCCTAGTACTCGTCCTACCAAAAAGGTTTTCTTAAACTAACTTCTTCGCCCGCTGCGCAGTTTTAGGTTTTTCCTGAACAATTTTTTTATCCCGAGTTGGTGTATTTTCGAACTCACTGATTCAATTTTGAAGAGGAATTAGGGATCAATGGGCCACAGAATCGTTTTTCGATGATTTCAGATCGAAAATCAGAAAAAAGTAATAAGATCCATCCGAACGTCAAGTTTTCTCATTCAGTATTAACGGTGATATCACCCTGCAAAAACACGGCATATGCGACGTCATTCACGGTTTATTCCACCTTGGTTTCTTCCCTATTTTTAATTGAAACGGTGCTGATGCGTGCATCAAGTTCATTACTAGGTACTTCTAGGTAATTTTTTAATTGTGACTGCATTTTTCTCAATCACAGATTTACCATGTACATCCTTTGTCCTGAATACACCCTTCATTTATTGTAATTGTGCCTTTGGCAGCGAAAGGGGGAGCCTCGTTGAAAGAATGAATGACTAAAATTGAGCGCTGGTGAAAGGTGGGTATAGATTCTATAGACATAAATCGATTGAAAAATGAAAACGCGAATCGATTGATCCGAATTGATCGACAAATTATTAAAAAACCGGTGTCGATTTGATCGAAAAGTTAAATTGTGATTCGATCGACACCGATTAAATCGATTCGGGGGTTTGTCGATCGTTTCACAGGTTTGCAGAGGCGGATCCAGCAATTTGGCAACACCGGATTGCATCCATTTAAACCTATGCTAGTTAATCGATTCTTGTCGGAGCATCTGGCCCCTCCATAAAATCGATAAATTTCCATAGGTTTAAATAGAGAAACGACAATGTTGCCAATTTGCTGGATCCGCAAATGCAGGTTTGTAGATCGATTCACGCCTGTCGATCGGTTCGCGATTTAACTTTTCGATCGCTCCATGTCGATCGAATCGGTGTTGATCTATTCACGTTCGGAATTAATTTTCCGATCGATCCATGTCGATCGAATCCATACCCTCCCTGGCGAAAGCGCCAAAAAAAGCTGACCTGCACCAACGCTTCCGCTGTTATTGTACATTGATTTTGGGCATAGAATTGATGCTGGGACCAATCCAAGCACAGTTCGGGGACACGACAAGGGTCACAGCATTGAGCGGGGAGGGGAGGGGCGGGAAGTTCACACGACAAGCTACGATGTTTACGACGGGAGAGCATTATGCAATTGATAATTCATTAGAGATTTGACCCAAGTGACGTTGCACTGTTATGACCGAGAGGTGCGGGTGACGTCGAGATAACTTGTTTGATAAAAAGCGTCCAGACGCAAGTTCAAAAATAGCTCTCAGGGCTCGTCCGAGTCGTAGCGCGCCAGGAGCCGCTCTCTCGAATTAGAAAGACCTTCTTTTCAAAATACATAACTCGGTTTTTCGATCGCGCTATCATTACGGCATTGGTGGGGGTCACGTTCGCAGTAGTTGCAGGTGGACCCGGCTCAATTCCGCACGGAGGGGTCTATTTTTTATTCATTGTTTATTCGCGAGCAGAGGGTCGAGTAGTGGAGCACTCCTTAAATACCCGGAGAGTCAAACGAGTCATTGCCGGAAAAAATAAATAAATAATGGACCTTCAAATACCGGTGGTGGAAAAAAGATTAAAATCAAAGCGGCAAAGATAGTCCACCCATTGCGTGGGACACCCTATCACGGATCTTGGGGACTCCGCCAGCTCCAAAAAGGGATCCGGGAGAGCTCTCAAGCTTCAAAGGGGGGCCCGAGAGGACTCTCGCGGGAATTGGGAAAAATTGAGTCGTCTCAGGAGCAATTTAAAGCTGTTCTTACCAAAAAAAAAGATCGAATTGAAACTTCAAAGATGAAAAAAATGTCACCAGGGTGTCTACTAAACCAGGCTGGCCAAAAATCGAGGCTTTTGCAGTACTTTGTCAGTAAATTCCCGAGAAATTCAGTACCTCCTAGACGGAGAAATTCCGTATTTTTTCAGTGCCTCCATTAGACGAAATTCTGAAAGTTTCGATTTGAAATTCGCGCTCGAATTGCGGCAAAAATGACGTAGACACAAAATTTCATTGGTGGCTGGAAGATTAGCCGACCGCACAATTGCGATCTTGCAGGCAAATGCTACACTAAGAAACAACGCGCAGTGAATTACATACTTTCCGGGCTATATTTAAAAACACGCGTGGTATGAAGGAAAAAATTCCAGAGCTTCTTGCGGTATGTCCGCACTTTTTCAGTACTTCCGGACCACCCTTAAACAAACAATACTATTTCCGGACTTTCCGGCAATTCTGGACTAGTAGATGCCCTGGTCACACACTTACTCAGTAAAATCCCTTACATTTCTTCGGAAGAGTCATGTAGCTTTCCAGACAGCCAGNTCTTCCTCCTTGCGTGCTTTTCCAGTAATTCTAGTGCAACTCGATTGATAAGATTGAGGTCCAGGTTAAAAAGAGCAAAATCGCATCGGTCAAGGTGGGAGCTGCAGGGAAAAATGGCGCTCAGCTTGTCGGCGACGACGCGACGTTAACGGGCCTCTAATTTTTATGCGTGCATTCTCGCACCTCCTTATCACCACACTGATAAGAGAAATTCGGCCAAGGTGAGAAAAGACAATACGCGAGAAAATCTTGACACATCTTCCTGCGATAAAAGCGCCTTGGCGGTCATTTGACCATCACTCTTAACGAACGTGTTGAGTCGATTTGCCGGATTACATAGTCAACGGAATCGACAAGACAATATTATGAGGTGTCTTGCATAATGTTTGGTGATAAAAAGAGACAAGTGTACGGACCCTCTGGGTCTTCTACATGGGGGGAAAAAATTACAGAACATATAGTGAAGTTTGGATCTTTGACAGGGTGTCTACAGATTTTTGAAAACCAATTTCAGGACTTTTTCAGGACCTTTTCAGAACTTTTTTTGGACCCTCGGAGTATTTTTGCCAAGTCAGGGTCAACACTTACTGCTAAATTTAATAAAAATCGAGTCCATCCTCATGAAAATTGCTGATGGCTAAAGGAATCCATGATATGTAGGTATGTATAATCGGGGACACTTTTCTACGTGATAACTGCACTTGTACTCGCGAAAACCGAGAATTTTTAAATTTTTCGGGACCTGGAGTTAAAGTTCCGGACTTATTCGTGACTTCGGGACCAGTCATGCAAATTTTTCAGGACTTTCGGGACCTGTGGACACCCTGTTTGATTAAAGCTCTTTTTTCCTGGCATTCGGCAGGAAATTCTGAGACACTAGAATCTTAGAGTGCCTCCGCCGAATCTGCCATGACTCTTCCTACAGCCGTTCCTTCAATTTTTCGTCAGCTTAGTCATCGGTCCAAAGGCGATAGCTACGAGGGGATTGTTCGAAAATATGGCTTCCAACTGTGGAATATCGATCGCGAATGTTGCGTTGATTCTTCGACCATTGTAAGGGGGTTCGCCCCTGGGCGCGTGGTCATCTGCGAGGTCCATCATGGCTCCGCATCGTCACCTCCCGGCCAAAGTATCACAAGCGCCAGCGACGTTAAAAAATTTCCGCCGCCATTTTATTTTTTTACAGAGAAAATGCAGGTTGAATCCGTTTGAAAATTTAACTGACTTTTGTCGGTAGCACGAAGAAAATTCAGTGAAATTTTCGGACAGCTTCGTTGAAAAATGTCTCTGTTAAAAAATAGAATGGCGGCAGAAATTTTTAAACGTCGCATGGCCCTTTGTGAT